AAAATCTTTCAGCGAAGACAGGATGTCCTCTTGCCCTCAATGCCTTCACCATCAGCACTTGCTATACCTCTTTCATCATCAGTATACAAAAGTTTGCACTTCTTTCCCATTTTGTGTAAACCTTCCATAGTTCCGGCAATTATGGCAGGTGGGGTTAAGCCTTCCATAGTTCCAGCAATTATGTCAGGTGGGGTTTTACTCTTTATTGGCACTACCACAGCATATTTACTCAGAACATCTATCATTACTAAACCCGCTCTAAATTGTTGTGTTGCTGTCAATGTCATCAGGTTAAAAAAACAATATGTCAAGTTGGTAGGTATGATTATTATGAGGTGCTACAAAACTGTTCTGACCTCTGTGTGTTTTCTTTATCTCAACATTTTTTCTAAAAAAAATATTCAACATCAAACAGTTTTATTTCAGAATCTTTTTTTGCATCTCTTAAAGTTGTTGCTTTACTTCCATATGTTCAAAAAGAATCAGTGAGCACTACAATTACAATACTTCCAGTATGGAGTGCAATTATCCACAGAATGGCACAGTGTATTGTCTAGTCTTTGTGCTGTGAAGTTTTTTGATAATTTGCCTTGCTTCATTTCAATATAAGATTTTATTCCACAGTGGGCACAACAGCCATGGAAATGATGCAAACATCAATGTTCATTGATATAGTTGTCTTCATCTATTTCTCTATCAGCCACTTTATCATGTTTTTTGTGTCCTTCAATCTTTATTTTTGAAATATCCTATTACTAAATTATGTTGCATCTCTTCATCTGCGTTTTCATTCTTGAAAAATATACATTGTTAAAATCCCTTGCTCTTGTGATATTGCACCACAACCATTCTCTGCTTACTAGATATGACTTTTTGCCATTCATGTATTGTTTGGTGGTTCCAAAAAACCTGGGGTTTCCAAAAAAACAAAAAAAAATCCAGAGGTCTTTGCACTTGGGGCTTCTGCAGAAAGAATTTTGAAATATTGGTTTTTTGGTGTTTTTTGTTGTTTTTTGATTTTTTTGGTTTTTTTTGTTTTTTGGAAACCCCAGGTTTTTTGGAACCACCAAGTTCCCAAACCTCTGGAAAATTGTATTTTTTGGTATTTCTGAATACTCAAAACATCTGGTCCTATCTGAAATGTCTCTATCTGTTGCAAAAGTTACAGAAAAACATCTGCAAATCATTGTCTCTATCTGGTGCAAAATTTCCAGAAAAAAACATCTGCAAATCAATGGAAAACCGCACTCTCAGGGACACCCGTTCTGTATTTTTTTGTACCGGATCTTCTCCCTCAATGAGCGGTCGCAGTGCTTTGCGGATCGCTGTGGCTCCAGGCTGCTTGGTGCTACGCTACGCATGTCCGAGGACTCTCAATGGCATCACAGAATGAAATCCCTCAAGAAGGAGCATTTGCCATTTCTACACTCATACAAGCCATGGATGCATGATGCATATCTTTCCTGATCAGTGCCCATCCAACTGCCGGCCTCACCCCTCTCCAGGTGCTGCGCCGCCTTTTCAAAGGCTCAACTGGATGTGAGGAGCTCACTTGCTGGCAGTCACAGTGAGTCAGAATATGTCAAAATGAAGATTTTGACATGGTTGCCATTGATGGGCTGATTATTGCGTTGCTATCACCTATAGCCTACAACCAATTGGACCCAAGTGACACCTCCTTCGGGCTCATTGGCTGAAGAGAACCCCAGGTGTCCAAACCACCAAACTGTAAAAACACATGACGGTCAAAATCAAACTCCCACAAACCATCAAAACTCATTCAACATCACCATGTGGACCATCTCTGCTTTTTCTTCACGCCGATCCGTGGCTTCTGTTCGGATGCGGTGCGATCGCCTGAGGGATGCGGCCACCAGCGCGCCCGGAAGGAGCAGCCCAGCCCGACCTGACCGGGCGACAACGAGTGCCGGCGACGTGCGTGGGGAGCCTGGTGACGTCCGTGACGGTCAGGGATTAGGAGAAGAGAAGAGGTGCCACGATTCATGATGTGCCGAGAGGTGCCGAGAGGTGCCGAGAGGTGCCCAAAGGGAAGCGGCTTGGCCGTCTCTGTGGCACCCAAGGCCAGGGCACATCGCATGGAATTGGAGCGGGGCCGGACAACAAGTAAGAGTGTATTGAAATCACGTATGACAGGCCTTGGGTTATAAAAAACTTTCATATGGTAAGGCCAGAATCCTTGATTTAAAAAAAAGTC